TATGCACCAAATACAGGAGCACCCAACTATATAAGACAAATTTTAACCAACATGAAAAATAAAAAAACCAGCAACATAATTGTAGTTGGGGAGTTTAACACTTCATTGTCACAAAGAGATAGATCAACTAGGCAAAAAAAAAAAAAAATTAGCAAGGAGGTAGCAGAACTGAACAAAACCTTTGAACAAATTGACTTAGTAGAGGTTTACAGAGTGTTTTATCCAACAATATCTGAATGCACATTCTTTTCAGCTGGTCATAGGACATTGTCTAAAATAGAACATGTACTAGTCCATAGAACATGCTTAAATAAATGCAAGGGAATTGAAATTATCTCATGCATATTGTCTGACCATGTGTAATGAAACTGGAAATTAACAGCAAAATAAACTGCAAAAACTTCATAAACACATGGAAATTGAATAATTCCTGAACAACTAATGGGTCACAGATGAAATTAAGGAAGAAATTAAACAATATCTACAATCAAACAAAAATTCAAACACAACTTACCAAAATTTGTGGGATGTAGTGAAAGCAGTCCTGAGAGGCAAATTTATAGTGGTCAACTTTCACATTAGAAAAACAGAATGAGAACAAATAAATATCCTTTTTTTTTTTTTTTTTTTTTTCCAGAACTGGGGATTGAACTCAGGCCCTTGAGCCATCTCCCCAACCCACTTTTTTTTCTTCTTTACAAATAAATATCCTAATGCAATACCTCAAGCTTCTAGAAAAAGAAAAGCAAGTCAAGCACAAACCCCAACAAAGTTAGGAAATTATAAAGATCAGAATAAAAATTAATACAATGGGAACAAATAAAATAATACAAACAATTAATGAATCAAAAGGGGGCCAGGGAGATAGCTCAGTAGAATAAGCACCTGTCTGGCAAGTGCACACACACAAAAAAAGAATCAAAGCATTGCTTCTTTGAAAGATTAAACAAAACTGAAGAACCTGTTAGGTTTTTTTTCCACAGTAAAGACACAGGAAAAATAAAGGAGGCTTTTTATTGTGGGCATGAGAGGACCACAGAGAAAGAGATGCGAGCATCCTCTAACTAGACAAAGGAAGGCAACTGCTTTTAGAGTTTTCTGATTGAGGGACCTTGGGAGGCAGGGTGATGACATTGTTATGGCTCATTGGATATCTCTTCAACCATGTGGGAAGGGATGGCAGAAGGGCTGGGAAGAAGAAAAGGAAGAGGTAATTGTTTTGGGCTTGTCACCCTCTTGGAGAGATGCCATGGTGATTCAGCAGGTTTCCACATGGGCCTGAACTGTCAAACCCCTAGCCAACCTTATCAGAAAAAGGAAACAAAAAACTCAAATTTATTCATTCATATGCAATAATGAATGAAAAGTGTAAAATGACTACAGTGCCTGTGGAAATTCAAAAGATCTTCAGTACTTACTTTGAAAATCTTTCATAGGATGAAAAACAGAAAAAATGGAAAGATTCCTAAAGATGTATGAATTACCAAAACTGAATCAAGAAGATACAAAAATTCTGAATAACCTAATATCAGTAAATGAGATTCAAAATTTAATTAAAAACTTATTAATGAAGAAAAGACCAGGTCCTAATGGATTCAAGGCTGAATTCTATAAGAAATTTAGAAAAGATTTAACCCTGATACTCCTCAAACTCTTCGATGAAACTGAAGAGGGATCAATTCTCCCTAACTCATTTTTGGAAGCAAGTATTACACTGATACCAAATCTAAAGAAAGACCAATCAAAAAATTAAACTATAGGTCAATTTCCCAACACCTAACATAAATGCAAAAATAGTCAATAAAATTCTAGCAAATAGAATGCAGCAAATCATCAAGAAAATTATACACCATGATATAATTCACCTCAGGGATATAAGGATGGTTCAGCATACACAAATCTATAAATGTAATACACAGTCAAAAACAAAAATTCCATGATCATTTCAATGCAGAAAAAGGTTTTGATAAGGTCTGACTCCCATTTGTGATTAAAAACCCAGCAGAAAATCAGAAGACATGGCCTTTACCTCAATCTGAGAAAAGCCATCTGTGACACATCAACAGCCAGCATCATTCAAAATGAACGAAACTGAAAGCTTTCATTCTAAAATCAGGTACAAGACAAGGATGTCCACTATCACCACTCCTATTCAATATAGCTCTGCAAACATTAGCCAGAGCAATTAGACAAGAGAGAGAAATAAAAGGAATAAGAATTGGAAAGGAAGAAGTTAATTTATCATTATTCACAGATGACATGATAATTTATGTGGAAGATCCCAAAAACTTCACCAAGAGGATCTTATAATTAATAAGCAAATCCAGTAGCATAGAAGAATACAAAGCCAACACCCAAAAATCAATAGCATTCCTTTACATAGATAACATACTCACTGAGAGAGAGAGAGATTAAAGAAAACACACCCTTCACAATAGCATCCCCAAAAAAATATTTAGGATTTAATCTATCAAAAGAGGTAGGGAGCCAGGAAGATGGCTCAGTAGAATAAGCGCTTGCCTGGCAAGCAAAAGGGTTCAATCCCTGGTTCAG